TCTTCCCTTTACTTGCAGGGTGGGACCAGCGTGGTCCCTATCTCTTAACCATTACGGGAATCTGATGACGTCATCAGGCTTTCGAACGTTCGTTAAATGTTTGACTAAAACGTTTTGTAGCACGCGGTGGTATATGATGCTTTGCGCGCAACAAATGCCGCACTTTCAAATAAAGTCGCTAGGAACAGCGGAGATCCCAAAAAGTAAACAAAAGTAAAAGTCTAATATCTTGAAAACCGGTGAATATTTTTCGATGAAATTTGGTAGATATTCGTTTTTGCTCTTTCTGAACCGAGCGACATCACTTTCATGCCAATTCATTAACTTTTTTGAAGGTGGGAGGGTCCCTTTAATCAGTCGGGAACTCGTTATCTCAGCCTGTAAACGATTCATTTTTTTTTTTCGCTCATAAACGTGCTATTTATGATACGTCATTTCGACTGTGGTTTTGTGCATGATATGTATGATAAACAATTCATTTGTTAATACATTTACGACATGATTACTTAACACCATGTCAAATGAGTAATGTTATATGTTGACATCGCAAAACAGACTCCAGGAAGCCAGGGACGTTCCTGGAGAATCCACTCATGAATTTCCGCTGCGCTGTGTTTTGGCTGCCGGCCAGTTGTTTTCCGTCCACAGTGCGCAGTGCACCCGGCGCTGGCTGGACAGTGAATCACCGTGTTTGTGTCACGTTCTGCCGTTATCTGGCGTTATACAGGCCGGGGTGTTTGCTGTCCCGGGTATGTCCTGGGTCGGCCTCGGTGAATGTTGGCGCGCAGTGGGTGACGCTGTGATGTCCCCTATCTCATCGCCCCTCAGCTATATGTTCCGATCAGCCCCTGTGCCTGTACTCGGCTGTTTGTCCTATTTACTCAGTCTGACGAGACTCGTCTCTCCACATTGACTCACTACTATTTGTTTGTTTTGTTGGGTTAGGCCCTTTCGGTCCAGTAAGACCATTTCAGAGCCGGGAGGATGGTAGGATATAGGGGGAGACATTGGTCTGGGCAGGCACCCTAGTGAGTCGCCGGGGCTGAGCCCGTCCGAAGACAGGCCACCCAGCCCCAAGGCACTCACTGCACCCGGCTACGGGGTGCGCTCCCTCGGGAGCAGCGGTGCTGCTCCGAGGGAGCAGCCCGCATGAGATAAAGTTGCCTGTCCAGCCCGGAGGGGGGTGGCGGTGTGGAGGAGAAGGATTTCAGTATCCTGAGGATAGAAGCATGGAACGGTTGGACTCACTACTACTGTTAACGCCAGACCCGTTGAGACCCTAATTTTTCGCGATTATTTTTAAATGCGTGGAATAATTTCAACCATATTTAGGAAATAGCTGTTTCAAGACCTGCCGAAACTTTTTCTTCAAATACGTTTTGTTGTCATTTAAATATTTGTGGCACTTGTCATTGACTCGTAATGTTAACTGTTTTTTCCATCCTGGATAGAGGCTTTCATACGTCATATGACATAAGCTCCGCCCACGACTGCGGCATTGACCCGTGCCCATCAGCGACCTCTGTACACACGACCGGGTACACCAACGACGCGGAAAGCGCCCATTTTACCTGGATGAGTTATATGGAAGGTGATATATTTTTTGAATATGGAAAAAATAGAGTATTCCATTCTGACGAGTAAAGCCAAATTCATAAAGCAGTTATTTTTAAATTGTATGAACCAGAAATACCATACTAACCATAGTTTAAAACTTAGAATAAAGTTAGTTGAAAAGCCTATAGTTGATACTAAGATGGAAGGAATCTATGGAAGGCGGAAATGGCGCAGCTGTTTCATTCTTAAAATGTGTTCACAAGCAGGATTTACGTGATGCTAGCGACATCTATCATTATAATCGGGGACGCTCATTGGCTGATCGAGTCCGTGAGCAGTATCGCTAACTTACGCTAGTACAGGGTTGAGGCAATGTGCGCATGCGCAGGAACTAGTGCCCTCATGGAGGGGCTTTTGGTATGTACCTCGGGCAGCGCCCAATGCTTTTTGGACCTGTTATGGCCTCCGCATCGAAAAACGCTAGATAAAAAGGTTGTAGAGGAAGCTTTAGGCTACCTTTCCCCATAATAATATTGGCAATTTATCCGTTAGCTTACGTGTGGGGCTCGCTTGAAAAAGGTCGATTTAACATGCAAACCCTATGGGGTAGTAGTTTTTGAGCGCCCATTTGGCCTAATGCTACCAACTGTTACTGGCTACCCCTTATATACCCTGCACACGACTGCCCTGCCATCTGTAAAGGACTATGAATTTCGCTGACGCTTTACGTGCTTGATATAGCACCATTGGTGTAGCAACGTATCTCTTTGGTGAAGGATACCTTTCACCAAAGTTTCAGATTGGTGAAGGATCCTTCACCAATCTTGGACAATGCAAGGGAGGGTCTTCACCTACCTATGCTTAGAACTACTGGATTCGACGGTTGATCAAATGTCTGTTTTTTAACCCGCGCCCGGCTGGAGGTCCTGGATTTCCACGCCCTGCTGGGGGGGGGGGGGGTGTGTTTGAACACCCCCTTCTAACTCGGCTCCTGGGCCACGTAGCGATACGCAGAAGGCGGCGTTCGAAAGAGCGTCAAAAATAATGACGAAATCACTTCGGTCAATTTTTCGGTCAGGTCAAAGGTCAGGTCACCAGAGGTCATTGAAGGCAAAATTTCGCCGATTTCCAGGTCGAATGTCGACAATTTACAAGAAGCCAACGCATAGCTCGGGAACCAATAGAGCTACAGCGCCACGGAAAAGCGCATTCGATAGCCCTATTAACGCCCTTTCTGAGTAATTCTCTCAGATTTGACCTAACGTCAACGGTTTTGCCTGCAGGGGGCAAAAACTGCAAAAATAGCCGATTTTTTCGGAAACAGTTTTTCTGCAATAACTTTTGACTCAAGCCTTGTACGAGCTTATTTTCACCGGCATCGAGTTCCTCTCGTCAAGACGCATCGAATGAACTATAACTTGACCTTGAAAGGTCAACTTGAAAATTTGACCTCAGGTCAAGGTCATGACCTGACCGGACATTGTCATGTTGCATATTAGTGGTTCTGTATTGTCGAGCTGAACATATATAAGGCGTTTTCATCGCTCTAGCATGCCTCTTTCAAAAGTTAGTCGCAAAAAAAACTGTTAGATACCATTCGTGACCTGAGATGACCTTAGGGGCATAAACAGGGGTCACGGGTGCCGTTTTCATGTTCAGTGTGTCAAAGTTCCTTGTAATTTAGTGTTTGAGAGTGTTAAGAATGACTTTCGTCCGAAAAAGACGGTTTTGAATTTTCTCCCATTGACTTATAATACCTAGAGAGGTCGCAAAATTGACCCGACCTTAGGTCACCGATATGAAAATTCCGAATTTTGTACATACTGTTGCACTTATCAATTGCTGAAAGCTTCAAAGCGATCCGTCACTTGGTGTAGCTATGGCATACATTGAAACATTTTATGATGTGTTTATGAGGTGAGGTCACTTGTAGCGACCTGGTGACCTGACCTTGAAGGACCCTGGTCTGAAATTTTCACAAAATGTATAAAATTGATAGATGATAAGGTGCCGCCGTTTTTCAGATATCCGCGAAAAACCGCAGGGTGGGTGTTATGGTGGGTGTTCAAAAACCTCCCCCCCCCCTCCCAGCAGGGCGCGGGTTAACACACTTTGACCATTTGCCCCAGTAGTCAAAATTCCTTAGCCGAGGCCCTGATTTACATCTTGCTGTCATGGCAAGATGCACAATTCAGTTTTAGGCAGGCATTGAAAATTTGACGTTAATGGGATGATAAGGGCGTAAGATATCTGCGAAAAACAAGGGGTTGGCGAAATTCGCCCCCCCCCCCGCTTGCACTGCGCGTGTTGGTTGGCACGGTCCTGTCCCTTTTCATAAGGTTCAGGTGGCATCCTTCACCAATATTTTTGGCGCTCCTACACCCATGTATAGCACTGCTATATCAATTCAAATTGCAGCAGACGGTCAAGCAGGTGTTAGGCTCTTGTTGACTCTCGTATATAGGACCAAGAGAACCATCACTCCTCAACCTACTACTCACACATGCTTCGAACAAACGTTAAAGATACCTAACAAATACGATTTTCGATGTAGGATATATGTTTGAAATACGAGCGAGCCTTATGATGTGAAGCGAAGGCAATTAGCTAATTATTGAGTTGTTCGATGGTTGCATAGCGATGTACAAATCAGCAACTACTTAATGACATCCGACACCCATTATCACATTATCTGCAAAGCCATAGGCTTTAAATACGGGTGAATATTTCCTAACCTTATGTCAGGTATATGCCATCTGCCCGTCATTTGCAGCTTATGAAAAATAAAACAAATATCAGCGAACCTATCAGCATTGTACAAACAATGCGCATTGAGCATTTATGGCTCCTCAGTCATCATGTCGCTCTTTGGGCACTGTCAGACAAGACGTTACGCACAATTCCGCCGGCTTTCGGCACCGCTCGACCGTTCCCGCTCCCCGCCACAGCGCGAGTGACCGCGCGCCGGCCCGAAACCGCCGCAGGCCAAGACCACAGAGGCGGGGCTTAGCCTTGACGTCATAACGTATCACAGACTGACTGGTGATAGCCTCTACGCACCGGGTGAAAATCTTGCTCGAAATTTAACATTACGAGTCAATGAGAAGTGCCTGAAATATTGAAATAGCGACAACATATCTAAATTGTAAAAGTTTCGGCAGGTCTTGAAACGGCCATGGCCTGAGCTTGGTTGAAATTCTTCCACGCATTTAAAAAATAATCGCAAAAAATTAGGGTCTCAAGGGGTCTGGCGTTAACAGTAGTTGCTACACACTATTATACCTTGAGTGGATACCGACCTGCTACCACCAGATTTGATTGACACAGATACCGGCTGGCGGCGGACCCCCTGACCCCGGTCGCCGCGGACCACCTCACGGGAGTCCTGAGTGGGCCCGGCCGACGATCACTCCTCTGACCGCCCCTCCCCTCCCTCCCGGCAGACCCCTCGGAGCAGATCCACGTGGGCATGTGGGTGATCGGCGGCGTCTTCTTCTTCGTGCTGCTGGAGATGCTGTTCAGCCAGAGCCTGTCCCAGGAGGAGCCGGAGCCGGAGCCGGAGCCGGAGCCGCGCCCGGAGCCGGAGCCGGAGCGGGCGCCGAACGGAGCCGGCGAGCTGAGGCGCCGGCCGGCCGGGCACACGGTGCTGAACGGCAGCGTGAAGGGGGCCGCTGAGCCGCCGCCGGCGCCACCCAGGCCGCCACCCAAACAGGCGAGTCGGACCGTCACGGCGGGGCAACGCGGTGTCTTTGGCGGGGCGGCACAGAATCTTGAAAATGTGGGCTCAGTCCAGCCATTTTGATTGTAGGCACCTAGTTAGCTTTTATCCGTGCATCAAAACGTGCGGTCGTGTTCTGTTATGTGAGCCAGCCCTGCCGTGTCCACCCCGTGCATTTTTCGCTGAGCTGAGCGCTGACGCCCCCGGTCGCTGCAGGCTGCCGGCTACCTGAACCTGCTGGCCAACAGCGTGGACAACTTCACCCACGGCCTGGCCATCGGCGGCAGCTTCTTAGCCAGCACGCGCATCGGCCTGCTGACCACCTTCGCCATCCTCATTCACGAGATCCCGCACGAGGTCGGCGACTTCGCCATCCTGCTCAAATCAGGTGGGTGCCGACCCGCCCCCCAGCAGCCAAAGCGAACAGTGGAAACACTTATATTTATCATCTCACTTAATTATAGGTATAAAAGCTCCCATAACTGAGCGCAATAAACTCAGTTAATTTTTCTCGATTTAAGTTTCAAGTGAACTTTTTGCACTAATGAGGCCAGGAAATGTGGAAACTGTGCTTCTTCGTTCTTTTATTCATGTGGGCATTGTGTTATTGTCATGTTGGCATTGGCATAAGTTTTAAACTTGAATTCGGGTGCATGTAAGTTTAAATTAAACAATGACATGCGAGTAACTAGTAACCGCACTCGTCCTTTCTCAGTGTGCCACCGTTCTGACGTGGTAACCCGTGTGTCTGTCTGCGAGCAGGATTCAGTCGGTGGGAGGCGGCCAAGGCGCAGCTGGCCACCGCCACACTGGGCATCACTGGAGCCATCAGCGCCCTGCTGGCCGACGATCCGCGCGCGCTCGGTGCGTATCCTGCAGGCACTCCTCTACACCGGCTAAACAGCAGCTCAGCGTCCAGTTCACAGTGGCCTCAACATTTAAACAGTGAATCATAATACAGAAAGCTGACCATAATACATTCGTTGGATTCCCCGTTGAAAACACCAATGAAACTCTCCCCCATGATGATACTCCGCCGCATGGGTTGCCACTCAGCGGGTCCCAACACAATGAGATCAGCATTAGTGCATGCATGCAGGCTCCCCACAGCGCCGCGGCGCAAAGTGCACAGGGCGACTCCTCGTTCCAACGGTAGTGCAGTGGGATGGCTGCAACGAGGTCACCTGACGTATCGCCGAAGAGCGCTCCACCCATCTGTCGGCGCGCTCCTGGTATCGGCGCCTCGAGTAGCGGGCCCACTGTTTGGTTTCTGTCTGTTATATAACCCACTGTATCTGTGTGCGCTCTCCGGGTCAGATGGGTCACGGGGCGCGCCGAACTGACCGCACTCTGCTGTTGCAAGGAGCACTTCGCTCTCGAACCTATGGCGTATCCATTGTCCAAATAGCGGAGGCCTGCACCGTGTATCTGTGTCGTTAATGAAAATCCCCCGAGCAGAAGCAGGAGGTGAAACGAACCAATTCTTTGTTTCACGAGCAAGCGTCACTAAATTTGGATACCGGTTGAGACGGCCAAGAGGCGGCATTCTCACAACGTTCGTTTTTGTCGACTGCAACGTGGAGTAGTGTTTCACGATGAAACGGGGTGTACGGTAGATACTAGACACTGGGTAAAGATGAGCCGGGAAATAATTGTCAGGCTCGGTGACCTGACCTGACCTGACCTGACCTGTAAATGCGGTTGGTGTCAAAATATCTTCCTTAAATCACGGTCAAATGCCAAATATCACTTCTCTAATCGCTGACGCGTTTTTAGCGATCGCGAAAAAAAGACGTTTGACGAGAGTGAGACGGTCACCAACCCACTGTGACCAACCCTATCTGGACCGGAGAGGGAATATTCCAATGCTTCTAATGATGAGCTATTAGTATTAATGTGCCGTGTCAGGTGTCACTATATAAGCAAAGCAAAAAAAAAAAAGAGAAAAAAGAACGACCTTTATGGGCAATGCCGCACTCTACCAGGTATTCATAAAACCATTTTACAGCATTTGATAAATGAATGTATTTATGTTGTGTGGTAGCAACTAGCAGTTCACCACCACATTAATTAGCTGTGAATTGCTCGAGTGTTGCCATTGACAAGCCCGGGTCAACTCATAAAGCAAACAGCCTGTCGCTTACCAGCTGTCTCTGTGCGGTTTATGATAGCTGAGGCCGGCGGGTGCGGCTGTCTGACCGACAAGTGGCTCTGCAACGAGTTGACCGCTCGCTGTCCAAGTGGCACTCAGGCCGGCCGACACTGCCTCACGCACTATCGGCCGACACCTGCCGATAGCACTACCCGTCCGCCAGCGCCGCTCTGGCCACACCTGTCCTCCGACAGCAAACGGTGACCGACCGGTTCATTACCCGCCAGTTTAGCGGCGTCGCAACGTTAAACGTCAAGTCGTTTGACTCGATGCAACGTTTAAAGTTATTCGTGCTTAGGCAGTCGAGACATCCACGATACATTCATGCACGTTAAATATGGCTGTGGTTTTATGAATCCTCACAACATGCGTTTCGGTTGTAACAAAAAAACTTACCTATCTTTTTCTTTTTACGTTTCTTTTCTATCGCACGACTGGCGTGAGTTTTTTTTTTTATTCCCAGCCGCGCAGATATGGGTCATTATCTGAACACCTGCAGTCCCTCACCTGCAGCCGGAGATACGTTTGCTGTGTATTGTGTCTGTTCCCCAGTACTGTGTCCGTTCCCTCTGCTGGAGATATGTTCACTGTGCTGTGCTGTGCTGTGTCAGTTCCCCATCTGAGACCACCTCAGTGTGTGATCAGCCGTGCCCGGGTCGACGTGCGTGTGACCTCTGCTGCCCCGTCTGACAGGGGACCGCACCGCCTGGATCCTGCCGTTCACCGCCGGCGGGTTCATCCACATCGCGCTGGTCGGCGTGCTACCCGAGGTGTGCAGGGAGCGCGAGCCGCGCCAGTGCCTGAAGCAGGTCCTCTGCATGGCCGCCGGTGTGCTAGTCATGCTCACAGTCACAGTCGCCTTCGAGCACTGAGCTCACTCCGGCGCCGACCGGGTGGACACGCCGAGTGTTCCCTGGAGCGAGTGGCAGCGGACACCTCGGGGGAGTGGCGGGACGCCCGTGACGCGTGGCTGGACGCTTGCCGGGCGTGGCCAAGACACGGTGCCCTCTCCCATGGACGGACAGAAGTTTCGCTCGGGATGGTGGTGTTCAGCTGCTGTGGGGAGCGATGTCGGAGGCTCGGCCTGGCCCAGTCGGGAACACGACCGGGAGCTGCTCAGGCCGGGGGCGAACCGGCGCCCGCCGGAAGTGGGCCGAAGCAATACCGGGGCGCCGCGCTGTGACAGCTCCCGCGAGGATCAGTGATCAGATGTGATGCGCCTTCTGCGATGTGCTGTGCTCTGGATGTTGTATGATATGCGGCGACACATGTGTCGTGTATGCATGGTGTGATGATTACAGGTGGTTTTCTTACTGTCATTCCTTATTACTGGTAATGTGAGCATATTGTATATCCTTAGTGTGCAATGCAACAGTCAGGTCATGGGCGTGGTCGTTTGTTTACGTGCCAAGCACGTACTCCGATACCGACACTCTTAGAGATAATTAAAAACAACTGCCATCTTTTCTCTATTTGATAGGTATTCAATAGCTTTTACACTTTACAGAATGTTTCATGCATGTGGATGCTTTTTTATCATTTTTGTGCTTGTTTTAATATTATCATCTATGAATTAAATCGCGTTATATCCCCGATGAAAGGAATTGAGTAAACATAACCGCCGTAGAAATGCGAGGTCTATGGGACGTATCTACCCATAATAGTGGTGAAGAATGTATCAGCGCAAGTATCTAGTTCCCTATACGAATGTAAATGTATGAGTGTACAATATACATTGTACACGAGTGAGCGCTCGTGACGTTGAAAACATGGTGCTTGATCGGCAGTCTTCCTAGACGGTATTGCTATTGCTGCTATATCACGTGAGATTCTGTAGTCTCTAGGTAGGTAGGTATGTCATAAAATGAAACGTGCCGTTTCAAATGAGTGGAAATATACGTGTCCAAATTACAGGCTGACTATCATATGTAATGGAGCGGCATATGGATACAAGAATTATCTTTTAGACATCATAGTGATAACCAGGATATCGGTGAAGCTCACAGTTCTTATATTAGAAAAGTTATGCGTAACTTCGTGGAAATTTGGGTACCTATATCCGTACTTCGCTATGATACGAATTCGAAATACCTATTTGTGGAAAAGTTACCTGCGAAATTATTACTTTGTTTGTCGTCTTTTATCAGTAAACAGACGCAAGGCCCATACCTATATACTACCTACCATCAGACGCGCTTTAGCCCAGAATAGGCGAAAATGTTTCATTGACCTTTCGAGGTAACCGGGGTCATCTGAGTTTACCATATTCAAAATTACATGTAAAATCGCGTATAGCGAATCGAGTGATGATGTTTTCTGAGATTTACTGCATAAAAACAATATACTTTCAGAAAGCGTATATTTTGTCTTTGAAGTAGTTTTTGAGTTCAATGCCGAGCTTACTGGTGAAAAATATTGGTTAACTTTTTTCGGACTACTGCGGTCATTTTAGGTCACTAAATTTAACACAGTAATTGTAAACTTTTATTTTGTTTCGCGTAGTGCCAGTTTTATTCTCATTCTTTCAAACTTTTTTAAATTTAAGGTTGGCTGCAAAAATGACAGTTGAATAGCGTTGTATTTAGGCGCCCTTGGTCAGTTGATACATAAATGGCGCAGTAGTTGCCAAAAAAGTTTCAAGGCGAGTGTGTATTTTATCGAATTATAGATATAATATTGATACTAATGAGGTTTTGAGTAATTATTTATCTTCTCTGGGTCTATCCCGTGTATTTATAAGCTGAATTTCATCTGCATAGCTGCTATGCTATGTTTTTGTTCTTCAAATCAACAGGTCCACAGCCACAAGCTAATCATCTAATGGTTGAAAGCAGTTTTTTGCACCTTGGATGTTTTCTGATATTTACAAGCACTGAATTAATAAAATTAAAATCAGACTTCCTTTGTTTTGGTGGCTGGTGCTGCTCACCTGGACTCAGAACCATCAAGTAATGCTTATGTTACTCATTTTTAAGCAGGTGCCTTCATTTTATAATTCTGTTAAAATCCTGTGGCATCCTCATTGTTAGAAAGGATTTAATAAGCTATTGTATATCAGTCGGGCGCACTAGGGTAATTCCGTTCCATATGTAGAAACGCTTCTATATTTGGAAACGTTTCTATATTTGAAATGTTTTTTGTTCTATATATAGAAACGCTCGTTCCATAAATAGAAACGCCAACCTTCCGGACGATTTATTTTAAAGCAAGATGCGTTATATAACTTTCTAGATGGTGGAATGCCATCTAGTGGCAACAAGGAAGCACTCAGGTGAAAATGACACGTCAATTTCGCCAAAACTTAAAACATCTATTAAGCCCAAATTAGCCAATATTCTGCCAAAAATCAGCCCAAATCGGGTTCTGGACGTCATATTTGAAGGGAAACCTTAAAGGGACCCTCCCACCTTAACATTGGTCTTGAGTTGAGATAGCCAAGTTTGCGGCCAGGCTCAGAAACCACCATTTATCCTGGTCGCAACCCCCGCAGCTTTATGGTGTTCAAGAAATTTCTTCCCTTTACTTGCAGGGTGGGACCAGCGTGGTCCCTATCTCTTAACCATTACGGGAATCTGATACGTCATCAGGCTTTCGAACGTCAGTTAAATGTTTGACTAAAACATTTTGTAGCACGCAGTGGTATATGCTGCTTTGCGCGCAACAAATGCCGCACTTTCAAATAAAGTCGCTAGGAACAGCGGAGATCCCAAAAAGTAAACAAAAGTAAAAGTCTAATATCTTGAAAACCGGTGAATATTTTTCGATGAAATTTGGTAGATATTCGTTTTTGCTCTTTCTGAACCGAGCGACATCACTTTCATGCCAATTCATTAACTTTTTTGAAGGTGGGAGGGTCCCTTTAATGGAAGTTTTTCTCTTATTTGCAATTTCTTCTACATTTTACACAAACCGGAAATCAAATCGGCGTCATTACCAAGGGCCACCATGGATTTCTTCGGGCCTCCTTGCGATTATAAACTCAAATGTTGGCTTGTCACTGGTGGTAACCGTTTTGTGCGAAATTTCGCCAGAGCTTGCGAAGATCGTCAAACAGGTGAGCGTGCACCTACCATTTCCAAATATAGAAACGCAGCGTTTCCATATTTGGAACAAGTGTTTCTATATATGGAACATCGTTTCCAAATGTAGAAACGTTTCTATAAATGGAACGGAATTACCCTAGTGCGCCCGACTGATATGTGCCACTATGATATTCTTTATCATTTAGTTGTGGCTAGCACTGGCTGTCACTTTAAGTGTGCAAATGTGACCTTGGGTGGGGGGCCTGGGACTCGGCTGAACTGTGCCAGTTGCCTTGTACTGTACATACTCAATTCTGCATATTAATTCTCAAATATCACATCAGGAAGGCATTCTTGTTAAATATTTGAATGTGGTTTGAAGATCAATCCAAGAAGTTTTTCCTTTGCTAGAATCTAATGTAAGTGGCTCTGATCTCAACAAATATGTGAAGAATCATTGACCTTTTCCTCAAAGAAGGAAAAACAATACCAAAAGTTATATTTAATGCGGTGAGCTTTAGGCTACAATATAGTGTCCTGGTTGTGTAGTTCCGTCGAACGGCCCGGGCCACGACACGCCACGATTCGTCCAAGATGGAGACTGTTTATTTTCGATAGTGGCGGACAAGAAACGACACAATAGAGAAACGAGTACTCGGTACTCAGTACGACGGTACTCATAGGCTACGGTCACTACATCCGCCACCTCAATAAAGTTGAACATAATTGACACCGGATGATACACCAAATAGACACGACACAGCTTATACTCGAAGCTGTTAAACTAATACAGAAACGCGGTTAGAGCCAATAACTGAAACGAAACAATCAGACACTGTGGTTCTGAAAATACAATCAGCGCAGCCTCACAGGCACGAACCGACGGCGACCGAATGACGATCTCGGCAGCTCGTGTTCAGCCAGATCAGAGTCAGGCACGGCACGGTCCGCGCTATCAGCGCCGGCGGTGGCTGGCTGTGATCGCGGGGGCGTTGTTCGTCCTGTAGATGGCGGTGCTGTCTCCGGCGGTGGCGCTGGCGGCTGGTCCCGCAGTAGAGTCGGTGACCGCTGAGTCGGCGGCTGAGACAGCAGCGGAGTGACGGGTCCGGCTGTGCCTGACGGCGGTGTGGCAGGTCCGGTTCCATCCTGGCTGCCACTAGGCACGCTAGCCAGGTGAGCCGCGTTCCTTCTGGTGCCGTCAGCCAGCAGGTAGGTTGCTGGGCCGAGCTGCTGGGTGACTGGGACTGGAGCCGAGAATCGACTTTGATCCTTCGGGACGTGTCCTGGCTTCTTCACACGGACCAGGTCCCCCGGCCGCAGACCAGGCCGCTTCACACCTTTACGTGCAGCGTAGTTCCGTTTGTTTCGGCGCTGTTGTTTGGCGACACGGTCGGAAATCCTCTTGTCATGTGCTGCTTCCTCTACGACTGGTAGATTCAGACGCATCCGGCGTCCATGCAGCAGTACTGACGGCGCCTCACCGGTGCTACAGTGGGGGGTCGTCCGATACAGCGCGAGTCGCTGTGTGACGTGGTTGGAGAAGGAGTCTGCTGTCCTGAGCCTCAACTGGGCGGCTTCCTGCAGCCAGCTCTTGACTTCTCGATTTAGCCGCTCGACTGCAGCGTTGCCACGCGGCCAGTAGAGTGATGACCGGTGGTGCGTGATGCCGCGACGCTGCAGGTACGTGCGGAACTTCTCACTTGAGAACTGTGGACCGTTGTCACTGATGATTTCATCGCAGAAACCTTCTCGAGCCCAGAGAGCGCTGAGCATCCTGATGATGTCATCGGTTTCGACTGTGGATGTCAGAGCTATCTCTGGCCACTTGCTGTAGTAATCGGTAACGACGATCGCGAACCGTGCGGCAGGAGGCGCAGCGGAGATGGGTCCCACGATGTCAATACCGAGCTTGGACCATGGTCGGTCAGGCAGCTGGACGGGCTGTAGTGGTGCTGGTCGCGCCTGCTGGGCGAGCACCGAGTCCTTTGAACAGCACACGTGGCAGTTCTTCACGAGAGCGGCAGCAGCAGTCGCCATGCCGGGCCACCACGCCAGGTCTCTCAGGAGTTGTTTCGACCGGACAACGCCTTGGTGACCGGCGTGTGCCAGCTCCAGGTACCTGCTGCGCAGCGTCTCGGGGACGACGACCCGTTCAGGTCCGCGCATGACGATGCCATCTTCTCTGCACAGGAGTTCCTGGCGCACGGCGAAGTAATCGCGAAGGTCCGGCGCGCACTTGCGAGCCGTGTCGGGCCAGCCGAAGCGGATTGTAGAACGCAGCTTCTCCATCACCGGATCGGCGGCTGAGGCGGCTCGGATGTCCTCCGTGAGGACGTCGGCAGCGGCATCAGTGACGAGTGCGACGACATCGTCACTGTCAGTCTCAGCGGCAGTGGTGTCTGGGAGCGGTAGTCGCGAGAGAGTGTCCGCGACCGGGATACTGTGGCCAGGCTTGTACTGGACGGTATAAGAGTACGACATCAGTCGTGACTGCCATCTGGCGATCCGAGCTCCTGCGCGGTTGGCTGACTGAGGCGACAGCAGCGTTGTCAGCGCGGAGTGGTCGGTTCGTAGGGTGAAGTGGCGGCCCCAGAGGTAGATCCGCCAGTGCTCGATGGCATTCACAGCACTCAGCGCTTCTTTTTCGGAGACTGAGTACTTCGCTTCAGCATCTGTGAAGGAACGTGACCAGTAGGCCACTGGGCGCTCCTGTCCGTCCGCCTGGATCTGAGTCAGGACGGCGCCTGCACCACGGTCACTGGCGTCCGTGGTGACGATGGTGTCCAGTGCCGGCGAGAACGGCATCATCACCGGACTGGAGGAGATCAGGCTCTTGACGCTGTTGAAGGCGTGTTCCGCGGCTGGGCCCCACTCGAAGGGGACGTCCTTCTTCAACATCACAGTCAGCGGCTGGACCACCGTGGAGTAGGCGGGGATGAACCTGCTGAACCAGGCGGTGGTGCCGATGAAGCTCCGTAGCTCCTTGAGGTCGGTGGGGTGTGGTGCATCCACCACAGCCCTGATTGCTGACTGCAGAGGTGCGACTCCGTGCTTCGTCAGGCGGTGACCACAGTAGTCGACCTCAGGCTGGGAGAAGACGGACTTCTGCATGTTCACTGTGATGCGAGCTGCGCGAAGCCGGGCCAGGACGGCATGCAGGCGGGCGTCGTGCTCGGACTGAGTGCGCCCGGACACCAAGATGTCGTCGAGGTAGTGACCACATCCTGCGATCCCGTCCAGGACTTGGTCCAGGAGCTTCTGGAACGCAGAGCCAGAACTGACGAGACCCATGGGAACTCGTTTCCAGCGGAAGAGGCCGTCCATGGTGAGGAATGCAGTGATGTCTCGGGAATCTTCATGCAGGCAGAGTTGGAAGTACGCGGACTTCAGGTCTATCCTGCTGTAGACGGTGCCTCGTAGGTTCCGCTCCAGGTCATCTATGGTGGGAAGTGGATGTACCTCTGCGATGATCTGAGAGTTCGGCCATCGAAGATCAGTGCAGATGCGAAGTTTGCCATCCTTCTTGCGAGTGACAGCCAGTGGGCTGACCCACTGAGACGCGTCTGCTCGTTCGATGACGTCAGCTCGGAGAAGTCGATTGAGTTCGGCTGACACCTCCTCCCGGACTGAGAGAGGCAGACGACGAAGCTTGAACGCTTTAGGCACAGCGTCAGGCTTCAGCTGGATCCTGTGAGCGTATCCGTCGATAGCTGGGAGATGAAGTTGCTCCTCTGACGCAGAGGTCTGCTCATCCAGATCGAAGATGGTGTGCGAAGCTGGGTGCAGAGTTAATCCCAGGGCACCTTTCTCAAACAGGGCAAGCCTTTCTCAAACCAACAAAATGATATGCTACAAAATTCAAAATTCATGAATTTTGAAACAAAATGACACGATACAAAATTCATGAATGTTGAATTTTGTATTGTGTCATTTTGTTGGTTTGATGAAGGCTTGTGGCGAAAAGCTAAGCTCATCGCATTAAATATAACTTTTGGCATTGTTTTTTTCTTCTTCGAGGAAAAGGTCAATGATTCTTCATGTATTTATTCTCACTATGTTCCTTGCTAAAGCACTTCACACCATTAATTTCATTGGCCATGATCTCTGAACATTATAAAGCTCCTTGATGTAAAATAGGTGACGAATGCTTACTCTGCTGTTTTTCAGACCAAGATGGCTCACATCCAGTTCACCGACACATTGGTTAGGGAATATTTAGTATCAAGGGGATTTGCTACTGCATTAAAGAGTTTTGATTCTGATGCTAAAGCCAGCAAGGATCATGGTTTCCGGGTAAGTGAATTAGTGTCCTGCATAAATAGGCATTTTGATTTGTATTCTTGTTTATGACTCATATTTTTCTTGACTACTCTGCATACCTACTAGAAGTAATTATGGTCTATTTATGGGTGGTGGATTGGTCAATGGTTGATACAAGTTCTGGAATAAATATAGGTAACAGTCAATTCAATTAGCAACAGGAGGAGATCAATTAGTTCCTCAACATGAGAAGAAGAAATAGAGTGATTTAGAACTCTGTTGACTGCTCGCTATTCATTTGAACATGAGCTAAGGTACCATGGACCTTACATTGACAATAATTTCATTTCAGGTTGATAAGATAATGGAGATTCTCATGTCCAGTGTTCAAAACCTTGAGCTGCAGCAGCTAAGAACAATGTGGTCTCACTTAGACAAACACATATTTAGGCACTTGGAAGCTCATCAGATTATTGGTAAGTTTTCATGGTTCACTGTATCTCTTTAATATGCTTCTGTCTGCTCTTCTCCCATTTGCTCTCTTGTTTGCTGTATGTTGCTCTGGCAGCTGCCCAAGACCTTTGAGATTACTGTAACTGAAGCAGTTGCCCACGATCTGGGTCTGGGACATGTGTTCTTTGTTGTCTAGTACCTTGTGACATATGTGCTTTGCTCTGGCATCTGCTGTCCGCTCATGACGTGTGCTTTGCTGCAGCAGCTGCTTGGAACCTCTGGGCTCTGAGGCTGTGACTTGTGTGCTCTGCTCCCACAGCCGCCCGGGACCTGGGTATCGCGCTGATGCGGCGGTACGTGGTCCAGGCAACCTCGTCAACTGAGACGGCCGGCAACCGCAACCGCGACAAGGTCCACGAGTTCTTCGAGAAGATGGCTCCGGAGATTCACAACCGACCCGAGTGGCGCGACTGGTTCGGTAAGCGCTGCAGTTGCGACAGGGGTCAGCATTGGTTTGACGAGGTTTTCAGTCGTTTTGTTTGAGAATCGATTTTGGTTCGTTTTTTTTTTTGCTCAGGATCCTCTTTGTTGCGACATGGTTTTCGGTGAGAGCCTGGGTGTTCCTTTCTGCCTGACTAGCGTCCGTGCCTGCAGCGCTACCATTCCTGAAGGCGCCCGAGGACCACCCGACGTTCTCCGTCTTCTTCAGTCGCCAGTGGCAGGACACACTCGCCGTGTCGCTCCATAACTTCCTGGCCATTGTCTTTCAGGTAAGCTGGCCCTTCCGAAACCCAAGCGCCATCTTGAGTGGTTCGATGTTGTGTTTTTATGTGAACAAATTATAATGGTTACGTATCATTCTGCCATGGTCTATCAGTTTGCGGTGGTAACGCGTCGACTGTGGGCTGAGCTGCTATGACGTGTCACGATCTATCGTGATAGACCACGGAGCTTACCCCGTGTTTTGCGCTCCGTGTATACCGTGATCTGCTGTGGTGCTGGCTGCTCACCTGTGTCATAAGTCATAACGTCCGCTGGGCGGCCGCCAGTGCATGCCGCGCCCGACGCTGGCCCAGTACCAGGAGGACTCGGCGCTGATGCTGCAGTTGCAGCGCGAGAACATGGACCTGCGCAGCCGGCTGGAGGCGCTGACAGGCGCCGGCGCCGCGCCGCCGCCCGAGCTGCTGCCCGCTCAGCCCATCATGGACGACTTCAACGTGGTGGCGCAGTGAGTCGGGCCGACCGGCCGCCCCGAGATCACCCCCCCCCCTCCCCTCAGGAGGGTGGGCCGGTGCCGGAGAGCCGCCGCCATGACGGTACATGGAGTGGAAGCAAGTAGCAAAAAGAGCATGCCTATTGCCTCAACTCTGGTTTTCGTACATGATTATTGATTACGTTTATTAAATCTGGAGATAGTTTCGATCAATAATGAGTAACAATCGTCATTCAAATGTATTTTGTCTTTTGCAAGAGACCGCACAAATGCTTGCTAAGCTTAAGCTATCGGCCAACGTTTATCTAGTCGTGGAGGACACACAGTACGTCGGAAACCGTCGACGCCGTCCGATTCCCGAGCCCCCAGTCCACTGTGAGCCGCGCTGAGCGCCGCTGCCGGCTCCGTTTCAGCGAGACGCCTAGCGTGGACAGCTCGTCGTCGTCGAAGCTGCGCTCGCTGATCGCGCGCTCAATCGGCTCGACGTCGCCCGGCTCGAGGCGGCGCTCGCCGGGCTCGGTCCGCGCCGGCGCCGGGTGAGGCGGGCACCGGGAGACGGGAGACGGAGGGAGCCGGTCGTGCCGATATGCATCGTCTAACTAGGTTTACAGTTATTCAAGGACTTTATCAGCGAGCCGGTTGTCATACCTAAGAAGGCGACCCAAAAGAGTATCTGTGAGTGCGGGAGACTAGGATATCACAGTGCATGTGTTTTGAAAAGAGAAAATGAAGAGATTGATTTGATATTCTTGCTACTAGACAGCAGTGCACACGGACGGCAAAGCTCGCACGCCAAAAACAGTCCCAGGGGCTGGCTCTGATTGGGTGTCGGGGCCGGTAACTTTTTGTAGACATGTAACTGCCGCTGCAGCTTCTTAATGTGACATCCGTCTGACCTGGCCTGACCGTCTGTCGGTCAGCGGTGCGGCGGCGGCGCGGACGGAGCCGGTGGCGCCCCCGCGCGTGGCCCGCTCCATCTCGGCTGGCCGGCGCCCGGCGGCGGCGGCGGGGGAGTCCCAGGTCACCGAGACGCTGCCCGACACCGGCGGCACCGGGCCCGTGCTGCTGGGACAGGTCCGTGGTGGGGCGGAGTGGGGAGGGAGAGGGAGTGGGTAGATCAGTTGTGGGTGTCACTGTCAGTGTGGAAACTGAGGGTGACCTCTCTGCTGAACAATATGGAGGTGATGCGGATATCATCTATGCATCGTAAAACACTACAGGCTGTATGCTGTTGCTGTCCCGTTTTGCGGATAGCTCTCTATTTGTTCACTGGTTCTGAGGTGGCTCACCTGTCCGTCTGTCTGGCAGGAGTCGCTGCCGGGACACCGCTCCGCCATCACCCAGTGCCGGTTCAACACGGCCGGCACCCTGCTGGCCACGGCAGACATGGACGGCGGCGTGCGCGTCTGGGAGCCGGCCCCGCCGCCCGCCAGGTGAGGCCCGGCCGACCCTTCCCGCTATCGCCCGTCAATTACTGACGTGAGCCTCTGTTCAACGCGACCCGACGGCATAAGTGTGTCGTTGGGCGGTCCTGTCCAGTGCCGTTTGCAATGCCAGTCAAGGCGGGAAGTGTTCAGTGAAGTGGCGATGTCTCAGTCGCACGTAGCCCGCAGTATCTGAGCTGTTACTGTGCCCTGTGTCCTCTCTCAGGCAGGTGTGCACGATGCGCTGCCGCTCGCCGGTGCTCTCCTGCTGCTGGCTGAACGGACAGCTGCTGGCCTACGGCTCGGCGTCCGGCGAGGTGCGCCTGCACGACGTCTCCAAACGGCGACAGGTGCTGGAGCTCACCGGCGACGCGCAGCCCGCGCTGCGAGACAGGAGGTGGGTGCCAGTGGGAGTCTCCGTCCGTCCCACGGGACAGGAGGTGGGTGCCAGTGCTCAGTCTCCGTCCCTACTACGGGATAGGAGCCAGGAGAATAGTAGGATTCAGCCCCCACCTGTACCGGGGGATAGGAGGTGGATGTCAGCAAGATTACTTTGGATATCAGTCCCCACCGTCGTCACGGGACAGCCATGTATTAGATGTCAACTTTTATATATCCAAAAGGGTGTCTTGCCGGTCTTGCTGAAATGAACTAATCCCACGGGTATGGCTGAGTGGCATGCCGACCGTGCTCGACGTCACCATCGCTCGAACGGTGACGTCACCTTGGTCTAAATGGTGCCGCTCGAAATGGTGACGTCCAACGGGACGTCACCATCGTCCCGTTGGACGTCACCATCGTCCCGTTGGACGTCACCATCGTCCCGTTGGACGTCACCATCGTCCCGTTGGACGTCACCATCGTCCCGTTGGACGTCACCATCGTCCCGTTTGGCGTCACTGTTGTCTCGTCTGGCGTCACCGTGTCTTGTTTGACGTCACCGTGTCCCGTTTGTTTGACGTCAGCGTGTCCTGTCTGGCGTCACCGTGTCCCGTTTGACGTCACCGCTGTCCTGTGTGACGTCACCACTCACCATTCTCCCTGTCTGGCAGGGTACTGCACCTAGCGGCCGCCAGTCCGTCCAGCTCGCTGCTCTGCTCAGTGACCTCTCGCGCCAGCAGTGGCCCCTCCCGCTCCGACCTGTTCATCTACGACCTGAAGGCCTCACGACAGGAGGTCAGTACGCGGCGGGACGATTGCCCAGTGCTGTCATACTTGACACATATTTAATTGATTGAGCTCAGGGAGGAAACATTGTTCATTTTTTTTTTATAATATCTAACATCGCTACTTGGTTGATGATTGACCTTCATAAAAATTCGAAATGAAGTAGACTTTATGGTTACTAACCAGGACATTTAATAGGATGGGACTTAAGGGTTATGCTATTTTGCTTGCGGCCGTGCATTAAGCTCGGCCTGCTAAATCCTCGGTTCTTGTTGGCCCTAAAAAAGAGGCAGCATGTTCCCAAAGCGATTCTAACCGGGCTGCCCGACCGAACCGACGTCAGTGATCCGCTCGCCCAGGAGTGGAGTTAAGGTTGCGTCACCATCCAGACCGCCTGGTACCGGGATGCTCATTGATCACGTCATTTGTTTGCAATTAATGTTGTGCCACTATGGCAACTGCAATTTTGCGATAATGTTTATATTATCAAAACCCTTATTACCCGTTTGCTGGCGAGCAGTCGTGGCCGAGTGGTTAAGGCGTTGGACTTGAAATCCAATGGGGTCTCCCCGCGCAGGTTCGAACCCTGCCGGCTGCGTAGGTTTTGGACATTTGCCGACGTTTTGATGCCGGATCTTGGCCGGATCATCGACCGTCTCGCTCGATGTTCACTGTTAAGCCGCGCTGAACTCCTTGTTGGGGTTTGTTTCGTACTCGTTACCTCATAACGTTACGGCGCGCGAGCAATAGTTGCGTTTGCATAGTATTTTGACGAGGCTCTAGCTCATTTATTTTGCGACAATATCGATGCAGCGATCTTTGTATATTTAGAGGGGACAATTTGGTAAATTGTAAAGCACCATTGGTATCTTTTGCAACGTAACGGGCGAAGCATCTAGAAGCTTGCAGCAATCCCTATGTAAACGGGGCTAATACGTGCCAGTCTGCGGGGTTGTCGAGGCGGTACTGTACCCTGACGGTCATCGCTGAACTCGGAGGGGCGCCGCGCTGTTGGAACGAGAATATCTTCTGTAATGTATGATTTTTAAACTTTTACGACTAGACATATATGAATTCAATGCACGCTTTTTAACCGAAGATTTGTTGTCAATAGTTAAAACACTATTCTTTAGAATTGTGTTTTTCTATTGAAAAACAAATCTGAGTTCCCTGACAATTTGGCAAAAGCTGCCTGAGATCAGTAGGCTACTAGTCGTTTCCTTGTTTTCACTAAAAACGATTAACGACTAGCAGCCGAAAGATATACCTTGAATTGAGAATATCTTCATTCGTCTATGGATACAACTCGATGCATATGCCATATGCATGCATGCACGTGCCAAAGAACTAGATAATGAGCTATGTTGCTTCGAAATGTGACGGGAAATGCTTAACCTTCCAGGGGGAGGGCATTTTTTGCCCCCCCCCCTAGTTTTTTCCATATATCTCCAGAACCGCTGCGCCGATCGTTACCAAACTTTCAGTACCCTCCCGTGAATAGCTATTGCACATTGTGACCAAAAATTTTCCAAAGGCTATGATAGGTTGGCCGCTAATGACGCCAGAGTGACGTCATTTCTGCCATTTTCGACAAAAATAGGTTTCGCGGGAAGAGCTGTCAGGCCTACAGCTTTAGAGATACAGAAAAATGTTTTTTCAGACATAAAAGTTGTAGAATTAACCCGCGACCTGGTGGGGGGGGGCTATTTTTTGCCCCCCCCTCCAGACTTTTCGATATATCTCCAGAACCGCTGCGCCGATCGTCACCAAACTTTCAGTACCCTCCCGGACATCAATTTTACACATTGTGACCAAAAATTTTTCCAAAGGCTATGATAGGTTGGCCGGAAATGACGTCAGAGTGACGTCATGTTCTGCCGTTTTCGACCCAAAAAAGGGTTTCGCGGGAAGAGCTGTCAGGCCTATAGCTTTGCAAATACAGAAAAATGATAAAGACATAAAAGCTGTAGAATTGACAGGGCTGCAAAACTGCTATCTCGGATTTTTGAAATTTTTGGATTTTGATCCCCAAAAATCAAAAATAGATTTTTTGGATATAATAGTCGAAAAATCCAAAAAGTTTTTTGAATTTCGCAAAAACCGGAATATATGTGATAGTCCTTACCGCTTTCCATCCACATACCAAATTTGAGATTGATACCTCTTTTTTTGGCGAAGTTATAGCGAAAAACTGTTCAAAATTGATTACGTCAAATTTTTAAACTTAATTTTTAGCAATTCTAAACCTCGTAGCGCAAAACAAAGACCACCATTAGACTCCCCGTGACGAGCTGCATCGAATCAATACCCATTTTATGCAAAACTATCAACTTTAAAATTTGACCTTTTTTGGCCTGACCTTGACCTGACCTTCACCTGACCTTCACCAGAAAGTGACCTAAGCCGTACCAGATAGTCTTATAACCAACACCATTGAGTTGGAAATGAAAAATTGGCCATAAAACATGCATCACACAACCGTAGTAAAGTTGGGTTCATGTGACCTGACCTGTGACCCTTGGTGACCTGACCAGTGACCTGACCTGGTATTGTCAGTGACCTCTTATAGCAACATATCTACTAGGCAACTGACGCGCTATCGCTGATTCTCGACAAAATGCGTTTTCCTTGGTGTTATAGCGCATTCCCTACTATGAACGTCAAACCCCTTGAGACCCCACTTTTTTGCGATAGTTTTTAAATGCGTCAACTTTCGTTGACAATATTCTGGCAATGTATGTTTCAGAACCTGCCGAAACTTTTATTACTAAGGTATTTTGACGCCAAACGACTATGGAAGGTACTTCTCATTCACTCGTAATGTTAAGGTCAATTCAGGCCCGGGCAGAGGCTTGCACTCGGCAACACTCGAGCCCCGCCACCAGCGCCATCTGCTCTAACCCTCGCCCGCACATGGGGGGGGGGGGGTGGTTGCCACCCCCCCCCCCCAGGCAGTCTTTCTGCTCTGCACTCAACATTTTTAGAGCTAGAAGGCTGATTTTTCGTATAGCTGCTCGTCTATCCTTTCTTGATGTCCACTGAAAATTTCAAGTTTCTGTGACTTTTGGTTTCGGAGATATGACCTTGTTTTTCAGGTCATGTCATGACCCAAATGGCCAATTCTCAACATCTTGCGTTTGCCATGGGCCTTGTGAGCTTTTGACACCCTGATTTCGGCCTTCTTTGCCAGTCTTACCTCCCACCTATCATGGAACATGTTGTTCGACGATGTACAGGGGTCAAGGTCAGGGTCAAGGTCAACCTAGGTCATCTAAGATAATTGCGTTTTAGGCAAGCTGAATTTACTTTTTGTGAAGTTTTTTTGATTGCATTTTTGGTAAAAGCTTCTCAGATCATGATTTCATGTGATATGGACCCAAAAACAATCGGTGCACACATCAGTATACACACAGACACACACAGACATACAAACACATATAATTGACCTTGACCTAACTTGACCTGAAATGACCTCAGCAGCAAAATTCTGGTCGAATAGTGTGACAAAGAGGTTCTAGCTGGCTTGGCACCAGAAAACAGCATCGTCATCGGTATTTGATAAGCAGCGCACTTGATATCCAACGGTGACCCAAAACAGCAACATTTTTTAGTTTGACCTGACCTGGAAGGTCAATGACTGACCTGAGAAGGTAAAACTGGGTATCATTGGATTCGTCTCTTCCCAAAGAATCTTTTTGGTCTTTACTGCTAAGCTCTATCTCCAACAGGAACGAAATGGCGCGGGGGGGGGGGTGGCAACCAACCCCCCCCCCATGTGCGTTCTAGGATGGGAAAATGGCATGTGCGGGCGAGGGCTAAATGCCATCTACCAGCGCCCGCTACCGCTACCAGCTACCGCCCACCATCAAGCCTGAATGGAGCGAGAGACGCGAGTGACCGGTCGCCGGGCAAGGAGCGCCGGAGGGGTAGGGCGGAGCTTAGCGCTGACGTCATTACGTGGCTCCGCCCCATGAGCGCGTAGCCTCTACCCAAACAGCAGATTCGTTCCGTGAAATTTAACATTACGAGTGAATGAGAAGTACGGTTCTCCAGGGTATTAGTCGTTGGTCGCTCGGCGAGCGGGAGGGCAACCAGTTCCGCCCCTGTATCGCGTGACCCCTTGCTCCGCCCAGTTACGCACGAGCGTACTCCACGCCGCGTAGTAGCGTGGGGAGGGGAGGGTTAGAATGGTGGCATTTGTAGAGGCTAGAACCGGTTTCCACCGCCATGCCACCGCCCAGCGACATGGAGCGGGGTCGGTGACCAGGGCGCAGGGAAAGGTCAGAGGTCAGCTATAACGTAGAACTTTGTGTCTCTCTCCCCTCCGCGTGTAACGAGAACGACCGCACGACAGCGGCCGGCCGCCGATCAGGCTAGACATGTCAAGGTCGCCCGCAGTCAACGGGCTCAGAGGGTTGGTCGAGTGTGCGTCCGTGGCTGACGACAGTCTCGACCATGTGCTATGGTGCCGATAGACTAGCGTGGGTAATAAGTTTTTGTTCAGTGCATATGGCTGCTGGAGAGTGTCATCTTGATATGATGCTTTGTAACTTGTATGATACGCTTAAAACCTCGCTGGCAGTGGCCGAGAGGAGAGGGGGGAGGGCGGGGAGGCGGGTGCCGCCTCCACATGTCTATTTTTGTTGATAGCTGCGAGAGCTGAAATTTGGCAAGCCTGACCCTTAATTCAAGCTGAATTTTTATGACAGCAGCTCCCTCGCCCATATTGGTGTTTTGCCAGCGTCTATCGTAAAGGGGGGGAGGAGGGTCCGTTGGACCCCTTTGCCATTCAGCCCCTGATCGAGCTAGAGCTTCGCGGAAAAAGAGCGTGTTGCCCGTGGCGAGAGGAGGCCGATAATACCCAATTTTAAGGTCCTAGGTCATTTGTTGATAGGTCAATATAACTGAAAAGTCGGGGAATCGGGACCTGTTAGAGCTTCGTAAAGTGAAGCTGTTATAGGGTTTTGCGGGGTGCTGATCACGAATTTCAAGTTAGTTTTGATCACAGA